GTCTGATGAGCAGTTAATGCCCTCGTTTGAGGGCAATCAATGCTGCCCGTCAGCTACGATTCATAACTTGTTCCGTTTTCTGTAATTGGGACGCTGGACCCGGTTTCCAGCTGGTGCAGCTCCCCACCAATAGATCGGAGCCATCTATAACAGGGTGCCTAGTATTGGAGAGTGCTCTTATCACCTCCAATACTAGGCATCTCGTCGATGTTGTCATCAAAAAAAAAAAAAAAAAAAAAAAAGAAGAAGAAGAAGAAGAAGAAGAAAAAAAAAGAGAAACGTACCGGTGGATTAAACGGACCCCCATCGGCGTATCTGATCCGTGGTCCATCGGACCATACAGCGTATCTGATCCGTGATCCATCGGACCATATGGGGGGGGGGGGGGGGGGGATAATAAATAAAACGGGAAACTACGCGGGAGTCATAAAAGTGAGTTATAATTGCAGTCTGGGCCAAGACACAGTTTGCAATTGCAGTTTGAGCAATGTATACAACCCAGCTTTCTGGCCAGGTAATGTGCCCGAAGTGCAATTCCAAACTGTATCTTGGCCCATAGTGCAATTATAACTCGTTCTCATGACTCCCGCGTAGTAGTTACCCCTAAATAAAAAATTGGATTGTGGACTGAACCACCTGGTCCAGTTCACATGCGCCTAAGTTGAAAGCTACCTTCCAAAGCTCGCGAGCCTGCACCTGCACCTTTGACTGAACCACCTGGTCCAGTTCACATGCGCCTAAGTTGACAAAGCTGCCTTCCAAAGCTCGCGAGCCTGCACCTGCACCTTTTCAAAGTTGCGTGCCACAATTGCTACCAGTCCGGGGCCGAATCGAAATGCTTTTACTACCACATATACCGGGAAGAGCACTACTTAGGTCCGTGTGAACTGCAGTGGTGGTTTAAACTACCAGTATACCCAGGCCTGGAGGCGCTGCACTGCTCGCCAAGCTTTTCCAAACCGCCAGTGGCACACTTCTTTTCTTTTCTGGCGGGCGCCGCCAGCCATTGTGGTCTGGTAGGCCTGAGACGCGCATTTTTATTTTATTTTTTTTAGGGATAATTTGCAAAATACCCCCATAAGTTGAGATATATACCGAAGTACCCCTAAATGATGTGGGTAGAGGAGAATGCCCCTCTGATGATTTTTTTTTTTGTGTGAAATACCCCTGGCATCGGTTGGACCCCCATCTTTGCAATATACCCTACCGGGTACCATCCAACTTTGCGAAATGCCCCAGTACTTGCCAACTTCTCCTAGGTGCCATTGCAAAAGGCCAAGGTCCAAACGGGAAGGTCCAGATTGCAAAGTTGCACACCAGCCTGACAGGGGCACAACACAAAGATTTCGGCCCAAAAGGGCAATCCGCTCTACCCATATCTTTTAGCGGCATGTTGGCATATATCTCAACTTATGGGGGTATTTTGCACATTATCCCTTTTATTTATCTATTTATTTATTTATTTACTTTAAGGCCCAGGGTATCGTAGACATGGGATGCTAGATAAATGGCAGTCACCCACAATAATCGGCCATTCGATTGTCCAGACGGACCCCTCTGAAGACCCCACCCACCCTTCCTCTCATCTTTGCCCTGGTGCACCCCCACCCCCCCTGCTGCAGACACCCAGGCTAAGCAAGGACCCCCACCCCCTGCTCAGCCCAGATTGAAGCAGACGCTGTTCAAGCGTTATTGCACGAGGACTTCCGGAGCTAGGTATGAACATGCTACTGCAGGTCTTCATGAGGGTGCAAGGCGAACTCCCATCTAGCACACCAGACTTAAGATCATAGTTGATAGCCTAGTAGAGAGCCTAATTAATAGCCTAATGAACAAAAAAAATATAGATTTTTTTTTTTTGTAGGCTAATGCAACAAAAATGCTACGAGTGAAAAAATAATGACCTGTTTCAACATACATCTCCTTAGTACATTTCATTTCAATTTCAAATTAATCGCTTGAACAATGACTCAACCGGTTTTTTAATAATTTTTATTGAATAACTATATGGCTTACCTTCAACTGGCAACAGTGGAGGAAACAAAGCATGCCATACTCTGTTTTTTCCCCTCTCAAAATTTGGTAGCAAATTTCAACAATACTCTCGAGCAAAAGATGTTCGGATTGAATTGTTCTTAGACTTTTTGTTTTTTTGGATTTATTTGAACGTCTTGTAAAATAACTAAAAATGTCTCAAATGCCACAGACTTCGAATACAACGTAGGTACATTGTATTTGACCATATGTTCTATTCGGAAAAAAAAAGAACGATTTTTCGAAGGTAATTCGAATAGAACATACGTAAGTTTTTTGGGGGGTAAGTGGGTAGGCGATAGGGAGATCGATACTCCTAGTTGATAGGTAGGTTGATATCCTAGTTTATAGGTGAGTTGATGTCTTAAGTGATAGCCTAGTTACCGCGCAAGTTGTAATATAAGACGGAGAGTTGAAGATCCTCCTTTCACTTGTAGAATCTTGGCCAGTACTACGGTCTTCTCCCGAACAAAACGCAAGTATGCACTATTCAACTTTCCCTCAAAAAGTCTAGTCCTCAAAGTCGCCTCCGGAAATCCAAATAGTACGCACGTTAAAATAGTACGCACATATGTTCTATTAGAGTAGTACGTACGTTCTATTCAAACAGACGGTGTTCTATTCAAATAGAACACACTGGTGATGTCTCTCTCTCTCTCTCTCTCTCTCTCTCTCTCTCTCTCTCTCTCTCTCTCTCTCTCTCTTGCTCCTGCCTTATCCCGCCTGCTCGCTTCCGCGCACTCGCTCCCGATAGCTCCCACCCATGCCTCCTGAACACTCCCACCTGGCTTCTTGACGGGCTGTTGTGTTTTTTTTTTTTCTTCTTTTCTTTTCTTTTCACAACTATTTCTCAATTTAGGCGTGTCAACCTTGCACAGAGGCCATGCTAATCCCGAAGGACAAGTACGGTTACAGGGTACTATTTTTTTTGGGGGGGGGCTGTTTTCGAAAGTTGGTACCCTGTATCCGTAGCATAGCGCACACGCATTATATACGAATAGAGCGCACGTCGTGCGTTCTGTTCGCAATTAACGAACGTGCGTTTTGTTCGGAGGAAGAGTGTGCAGGGTGACAGCTACGCCAGCCACAATACTTTGGACCCTGGAACGGCACCTGGAGCGCATTCCGATACCCCTCGGTAAGTCTGTACTAAGGTCACAGCTACGCCAACCACACAACTAGAGCCCCCTGGACCACTTCCTGTTCTGCTACCCCGATAAGTCCGTACTGAAGTAACTGCTATACCAACCCCGACAAGTCCGTACGAAGGTAACCTGTAGCCTGTTCAAATGCCAGCTCAAATGAATCCAGAGCTAATTGAGTCACCAACCTTTTGATCTCGACAGCATACCTGGAGCCTGTTCCAGCACCCCAACAAGACCGTACTCTCGGTTCGAGCAGTGGCTATGGCTCTCCCAGCCTCGATGGGGGGAGGCATGTGACCATTGATGTATCGACTCTTTACTCTTTACCTTTCGTACTTACGTTTGAAAGACCAGAGCCACTGTTTGCGTTGCGTGATCATCTGTCGATGCACCTGTATCGTGCTTTTTATGTTCCTGGTGTGTGTTCTTGGTGTGTTCCACGTGTATTCCTGCTGTGTGTTCCTCGTGTGTGTTCCTGGTGTGCATTCCTGCTGTGTTCCTGGTTTGCATTCCTGGTGTGTTCCTGGTGTGTTCCTGATGTACGCATTTTTCTTCATGCGCTGTGTTGACCTCTTGCTTCAAAAAAAAAAAAAAA